AGCTGGCCTCCGGCCGGAGCGGCAGCGGTGCCGCCGGGGAGGTTAAGTTCAGCTCCTCTCTGTAAAGCTTGTGTCTCCTGGAAGAGAGCGGTTATGGGGTGATGAGGATGAGCCCTGGGATGGAAACCCTTACTGCTCTGAGCCCAGAGGCTGTTGGGGAGCGGGGAGGGTGCTGGGGAGCAGAGCTGGGGGGCATGGGGTGGATAAGGACTCTGCGTGCTATCCGAGGGGAAACTGAGGCAGTGAGCAATGACTGAGATGGTCAAAGGTCTCACAAATTGTGCTGCCTTCTTCCCTCCGCAAAGCCCTGGGAAAGCAGCCCCAAGCGGGAACACAAGGGACTCTGTTGTCTTCTCCTCGCCCCATCAGGACCAGGAGGGGTGTCAGCGCATGGCTGGAGCTAAACCGCGTCTCCAGCAACACAAGAGCTGGCCTATGTGATGGATGAAGTGCTTCCAGGCCAGACGTGGGGAGGGGATGTGATGTGACAGTGGATAACCTGGGTCTTAACTGCTCAGTGAGGTATCCGGAGAGCCCAGGAGAACAACAGGATCTTGTCCAAGTGAGCCTCCGCAGAGGACTGTCTTTACGGTCATTAAATCTCTGCCAGTATTTTTTCCTGAAGCCGGAGGTCCCAGGCAGGGGAAAAAAAAAAAATCACTAAGAGCCACAAATTGCCTTTGTGACCAGACTCACAGCCTCCGTCCAGCAAGCAGGGATGCGGTGAGGCCGTCCAGCAGCGTCCTGCCCATCTCCTCTTAAAATCAAGGTTGAACTCGGCCCTTTCTTGGCAGGTGGAGCCGATAATAACCCCAAAACATCTCCCTACTTGATCAGCATTTTCCTCGACCTTGAGACCTCCACGGCTGGGACCCACGCTTTGCTAAACTGCAATCAAAAGGTCACTTATTCCACCTGACGGAGGACAGAGCCTTAGTTTCTCATTAACACCGGCCGAGCCGTGTACGGAGTAGCCAGTCCTGATAAAGGGAAAATGGAGTTCAGTTTGCACTGAAAGTGCCAAGATACATCTGAAAGAAAACAGGAGCTGGGGGCTGATAACGAGCGGGGCATTAACCAAGGCTGGGATGGAGAGAGGGAGGTGCCACGTGCCTCGCTAGACCCAGTCCAGACCCTCAGCAAAACTGCTCTGGGAAATACAAAAGATGAAAAGAGACTTTTCCCTGCTCGCCTTTAGTTTTTTCCTAATTTTTCCTAATTTTTTTAGTTTTTGCCCAACGCAAACAAAACTAAAAGCAGGGAGGAGAGGGAGGCTTTTCAAGCGTGGTGGGAGAGGGGAGCGTGCGCGGGCATCGGCAGGCACGGCCGGGTGTCCTCCGGGATGGCGGCGTGGCTCTGCCGGGGTTTGCCACGCTGCGTGGCTTGCAGTGCTGGCTGCAGCAAGCGGGTGCTGACCATGCACCCAGTCCTTTATCGGCCGAGGAGTTGGCACTGGTGGCTGGAAAGGGCTCATGGGCCCTGCTGGTTTTTTTTTCTTCCCTTCTCTGACCAGCAGGAAAGCGTTGGGGTTTTTTTCCATCATCCTTCTCCATCCAAGCAGGCTAAACAGTGTGGTTAGTCTGGTCTAACCATGAGCAAAGGATGAACCCTCCCAGTGAGGGACATGTTTCAGTAGCGTCCTGGGAGAAATCTAGGAATCGGAGAGACGTGGCATATCTACAGGTCAGAGCAGCCTGTTCCCCCTCCCAGTTTGTTTGCCTTTCAGTTGGATCGGGTCAACTACAGCACGAAGTCCACGTGCACGTGGTGAGGAATAAGGGTGTCGGAGCATTGCTCCATCGGTCCGGTTTAGGAGGAAGCTCAAGTGATTTGCAGCCCAGCGCCCGAGGGGAGGAGGGGGTGCTGCTGGCGGGGTCTCGCCTGGCCCCACGCCGGCCGCTCTGCAGGGACAGGGCTTTTGGGGGATGTCTCTTTGCTCAGGTCATCTGCAAAGGAGGCAGAAGCTCCCCCCGAGTCGGGAGGAGACGAACACGGGAGCATGCTAAGACTCGCCGGCAGGTTTGGCTGGCAGGCTGTGCACGAGGACGCGGTCCCGGGATGCTGTCGGCTCCGGCGGACGTGCCTCAACCTTCCAGCGTGCTGCCGTGCACCAGGTCTCGCATGGGCAAGTCTTTGAGGCACAACCTTAACCCCCCGCCAGGGACAATAAAGACCCCAGTGTAATTCAGAAGAATGACTCAGGATTTTTCCCGAGGGAAGCTGCCCAAATATTTTACCATATTTGCTCTCCTGCCTCCCATACACGCAGGCTGTTCCTCCCCCTGGGTGGCAGTGAGCAATAGATTACTGATGGGGAAAAAAATGCAGCGGTTATGCAAGGAGAGGCTGTTCCCGGCCGGCGGCTGCTTCCCAGCCCGGCGCCCGCATGGTCCCTGCCCCGGGTGAGCTGCTGCAGGGCCAGCGACCCCCTTTCCAGCTCCCTCTGCCTCCCCATTTCCTTCAGGATTCCTGAAATATTTCCCTGTAAGAACAGAGCTCTGCAAAAGACATAACGATATAAAAACCGGGTTCATTTCTGACTTGCTATAAATAGCCCCGGGGTTGCCCTAGCTCTCTGCTCAGCCAGCTCGCTGCTGGGCTGCGAGGGGCACGGCGTGGGGTGATGCTGGGCACAGGCCACCGGTGTCCGCTCACCCCGTGCCTCCCCCGGAACCAAGCCGGTTACAGAGTTTGGGGTCTTGAAGCTAGTCCTTCAAAGATAAAAATAAGCTCCAGAGTTTTTAAGGGTTTTTTTTTTTGGTTTTGAAGAGGTGTGGATGGTTTTTTTGCTGTTTCCTTCCTGCATCCCCATCAGTCTCTCCAGCTGGTTCTGCATCCTGCAATCAAACTCCCGGTCCTAATTGAAGTGCCAGGGAAAAGCACGGTGATGGGCAGCAGCCAGCACGCAGCGAGCACCGTGGAGGTAGGACACGCGCTGCTGTGCTCCCCTGGCCGTGGGTATCCGAAACGGGCCGTACCCTGGGGCTGCTCCATGAGCTGGCAGAGAGTCCCAGTCCAGCTGATGTCCTTCTGGCCGCAGAAATGAAGACGGCACGCTCTGCTGTAGCTACAGGGTTAAGCTACAGCTTGTTCCACTCAAGAGGAGCATCCCTGCCACTCTGAACGCTGCTTTGCCAACCGTCAGACCTACGCGTGATGCAGAAACGTTCCCGGTCGCCCAGTCAAGCCGAGGAAGGGATGGCCCAGGACACTCAGCTCTGACCCTCTTCTGCCTGGTAGTGGATATGGTCACACCCCGGTGAGAGCTGGCGGGGACCTTGCTCCCGCAGCACTATCTTCAGTCCTCAACAGCAGGAGCTTTGCTAAACCTATGGATTGGGAGGGAAAGCCATGGATTCCTGGGTCCCACAGAGGACACTTCCCTTTGCTCTCAGCAAACACAGGGACAGCTCTTTCACTGACCACGTCGGAGAGGACATGGGCTCCGCAGTGCTTCTAGTGAGGCAGAAATTCCTCCATGCCCACAGCAAATTAATGGTCTTAGGAAATGCATCAGCCCTGTCAAGTGCCGTCTTATTATATATTCAATTTGCAGCGCCAACGGCAGGAGAGGTGGTGTGTCACCTCGACCTGTGCACGCTCTCTGAAGGCTTTACCTGCTTATGAGCACCATATATTTCATTTCAAAGTGACTGAGGAATAATCAATACTCTGCCTCCCTTCTCCTTCCCGGAGGTGCAAAGTGAAGTCAATCAAGGGCAAACGGCATCACAGCTTTCCTCTCGGCCACATCATAACCAAACCTCAGAATAAAAGGCAATGTGCAGCCACGGCTTCATCGCAAATAGCACGTTTAAACAAAGCAGTAAATAAAGTCGGGAAATGCAGACTTCTTACCAAAGAGCCAGGGCTGTCCCGCAGGCGAGGCTGGTGTGGATGTAATGCCAGCGCTGCTGCAAGCGCTTGGCACTGGGTGCTCAGGGCTTCTGGTGGTGCTCGAGAAGCCATCGAGTAGGTGCTGTGAGCTGCTTCACTTCGAATCCCCCATCCCCACCAGGCTTTTGCTTGGGAAACGGATATCCATCTTGCTGCCCAAATCCTGATGTCTTCAGGAGGCATTGCTCAGCTCCGAGAAGATGCACCCGAGGGGGGTCCGTGGCACAGCCTGGCCGTGGTGTGTGTCCCCAGGGATACCCAAACCCACCGCCCATGGGCTTCAAGCGATGTGAAGAAGGATTTGACCTGCTTCAGGACTGACTCGGGCAAGGGATGTGACTCCCGACCAAGCACATGGGGCGGCTCCCGGCCCCGGGCGCTGCTCAGGCCCTGGAGGTCATTCTTCGGTTCCTTCCATTATTGCTTCCCTGCGAATCGTGCCTGAAACCGGGACTGGGTGAGTCCCACAGAAATAAGAGGAATACGCATCGAAGTGGAGAAAGTGGGAGCTTGGAAATCCTGCCCGCACGGTCCAGCAAACAGCGTGTGGGTGGCGGGAGGAGCAGGGGCCGGGTCTGACACGGGAAACCAAACCTGGGCAGTGGGGAAGTGCCGGGACAGGGACCTCCGAGGTGGTCCCCAGGAGATGCTGCTGTCCCCTTGCAGGTGGGCACCGTCCCTGCCTTCGCGCAGAGGTACCGCGGTGACCTGTTCTGGCACCGCATCACCGTGGCCGACCCTGTTGGACCCGAATTTGTGCACGAGGGAAGAAACTGGGGTACAGGGAGGAGCGGGGATGCTGGGGAACGCTGGCTGTTTCCAGCTTGGACACAACCCTCCTGGAAGAGGGGTTAGATCGGGGGTTCAGGGGCCCCGGGCTATGCAGTCGGGTCATGCACAGGTTGAGTGTCACCATCCCCTTCGAGGCAGGGGCCATGGGGGTTAATGACAGTCCCACCCCAGGAGCAGGAGACAGGGATGTTTTCTTGCAACCATTGCTGGGGCTGGGAAAGGCAGTAAGAAGAGGGCTCTGAGCTGGGAGTCGCTTTCTCCCCAAAAGTAAAAGCCTCTGCACCTTTTCCTGCGGAGAAGTCAGCAGTGGGAACAGGAGAGGGGCTGAACGGGGAGCCAGCACCCCGACACCGCTATCATGGATCAGAGGAGACCCATGTAATTGCTTGGAGGCAGACACCGAGACGTGCAGGGCTCTGGCCTGGGGGCTTGTGGCTGCTGGAGCCCAGGGGCTCCGGTTGTCCCCCACCCTGAGGGTGGCTGCCCCCAAGATGAAAAGGCAACGCGATGCAAAGGAGGAGCTTACCCCTGGGAAGACCCGGCTCGCAGGGTCTCACCCTGTGCCCCAGCAGCCACCCTTCCCCTCCCCTGGGGGTCTTACAGTACCCCAAGAAGCCCCCTCCCAGCAGAACCCCCTCTACCCCTGGGCTCAGCCCTGCTTGTCTGTGGGGTGCTGGTTGTCGGGGAGAGAGTGATGG